GCCCAGGTGTGTTGTTCCACGTCGGCAGCTGCTGCGACTGCCATGGATGCACCTAGCACCACGACCAAGTCACCTTCGACGTCGCCGGTAACCCCTTGTACCATCACGGTTATGCCTGAAGTTTTGATGCCAGCTCCAACTACGTCCAGATTTTGGCGCAAGACTACTACTCGATCGCCAAAAGTCCCCCTCGCTAAGTCACCTCATCCACCAAATTCCCCCGATGAACATCGTCTACAAATATTGACATAACGTTCATCACGATGTGCATCGCGCCACATCAAAGAATTGGGATCAGAATCACTTCAAGTACGGAAAAGATGCAAGAAATAGGGTCATTCAAAATATTGATGCTTTGAAGTAAATAGGTCAAAAATAATACATAAACATGCGATGGGGTGTTTACACGCAAGGAACTCCGGGTTCAGAAACCGAGGACAACTGAAAAGCCAACTGTTGAGGTTTTTCATGTATTAGTAATGGGTTGAGTACTCTGCATTCGCTACTTTCATTACACACTGTTTCCAGCATGTGTTAAAGCGTCGCTCCCATGCAGGTGGACGTGGGTCGCTCGAAAATGATCTAAGGCCGCGCTCGAAAATACTCCATTGTTTGCTCGAAAGCAATGCGCACCCAACAACCTTGATCGAGCCAATTGATGCCACGATTCTGCTGGTGTGCAGCGTAAGCGCCAACTGGAATGTCATAAGGGGGTGATAGTGACGCAACTTGATGAATTTGTTAAAGATTGTAGTACACACATTGCCTTGAAGAACAAACCGATGAGTAGAAAGTTTGTGGAAGGAGACACTAGGTAAAGAAGGCTATTATGGAGCTCGAGCATGGGCTTGTACTACTATACCACATCGTGGTATTGCCTTCGCAAAGGTATATACTTTCGAATTCTACCGCCTTGCCTTTTATTCTCCACGACCATCCCCCAAAGTTCGTCAGGTTTAGCTCGCTTTTGGATAGTTCACTTTTACATTTGCCTAACATTGGATCTACTCCTTTCTTGCTGTGTTCTTCTTGGCGAAGCCGAGAGTATCCGGTCTTGAAGTCCGAACCTCCGGGCCTTCGTAAGTTTTGTGTGTCTAACCCCTACGACCGTCACAAAAGTGGTGGAGCAGCAGGGTAACTCTCGTGCCAAACCAAGAAATCCAGCACACGTGGATGAGCAAAGGCATCTCGATCCACCTCCCATCCAAGCA